AATGAGAAGACGCGACTGGAGTTCCGGTACATCGACTTAAGGCACCCGAAGATGCAGTCGATTCTGCGGCTGAGGTCTCACGTGATGAACACAATGAGACAATTCTTGACACAACAGTACGGCTTCGTTGAGGTCGAGACGCCCACACTGTTTAAGGCGACGCCCGGCGTATGTCTTACCACTTAATGGACGAATTGGTTGTCTTTTAACTAAAATTAATTTTTGTTTTGTTTTTTCAAACCGATTGTCACCAAAAGGGCGCCAAAGAGTTTGTGGTTCCGACAGAATTCAAGGACTGTTACTATAATTTAGTCCAAAGTCCGCAACAGTTTAAACAGCTATTAATGGTGGGCGGCATTGATAGGTACTTCCAAATCGCCCGGTGCTATAGGAATGAGGGCACAAAACCCGACCGACAGCCAGAGTTCACACAAGTATTGATTAAATGAATTAATTTTTTGTATCGATTCTTAACTCTGGAACTGGTCTTCAGTTAGACTTAGAGATGTCTTTCACGTCTTCCGATGGCATCATGTCTCTGATCGAAGAGTTGATTCATTCGATAGGTTTCGTTGAAAACTATGAACCCTTCCCACGGATGGCATACGCCGACGCTATGCAACACTACGGCACCGATAAACCAGACCTCAGGTCTGATATTAAGGTCTGGAAGTCCTGTCGATTACGAATAGTTAGTAAAACACCATCTTTTGTATCGTTTTAACAGATAAGAGCTGTGGATACGTACGAAATGAATGCTCCCATTGATAAGGACGTGTGTCTAACACTAGTTATCAATGACTTGGATGTAAAGCAACAGTTGATTAGCCAATCATTTTATAATCAATGAATGTTTGTCTGCCGTTAGAAAGACATAAACGATGAGATTCTTCGTTATATGGACTCAATCGGTGACATCAAACGAGAGCTACAATTCAGTGGACAACTGACTCATGAGTTGGCCGAAGACTCGAATCAACTCAACTTTGATGGCGTCAGCGAAGCGGCCAAACAGTGTGTTGTCGGCCAATGCCAGCCCTCAACGGGCGCTCACATATGGGTCGTCGAGGGGTCCAAACGAGACGCTGTAATCAATTGATTTGATTCGCTGTTAAACATTGAGTTTAAATGTCTTTTCGCTTGAAATTAGTACCGAATTATGGGTCGAATTCGTGCCGATTGTGTGAAACTCATGCAAAAGTACAGCACTTCCGGCGCCGATAGGAAGTTGTCTTTCGTATGGATTACAGACTTTCCTCTGTTTACGCCTAAAGAGGAGTCCGCCGGCTATGAGTCGACACACCATCCCTTTACGGCGCCCCGACCTCAGGACAGTCAACTGCTACGCACAGATCCCGGCGCTGTGTTGGGCCAACACTTTGATCTCGTGCTAAACGGCCAGGAAGTGGGCGGCGGTTCCATACGTATACACGACCACCAAATGCAAGCCTATGTACTGCGGGAAGTGCTCAAAGAGGACATACAGTCGATGCGATACTTTTTGGACGCACTGCGAAGCGGTTGTCCACCCCATGGGGGCATTGCTCTGGGTTTGGATCGACTACTGGCCACTGTGTTGGGCACCGACTCTATTCGCGATGTCATAGCCTTCCCGAAGTCGGCGCACGGCAGGGACCTAATGGCCGGCTCTCCCACTGCCATACCTCCCGGTGTTAAACAGTTGTATCATTTGAAATAAAATTGTGTTTTTTTTGTTAACTATTTGTATAGTAAGTCATTACCAGAGACTCATAGAGAGCGGTATTCTTGAGGTGTTTGTCGGCATTGAGTACGAGTCCAACGAATCACTCAAAGTATGCGTCAATTGATTGTCACTTCATTTGATCCATCGTTTCATTGATCTCTTCATTGTAGTCACATTTGACGACAAATCTGTGTCCGTATTCTTAGGCATACCATACGCTAAACCACTACCATTCAAACCTCCTGTTCCTCTCACGGAATCTACTCATAGAGTGTCAGCCAATCGGTGGCCAAACCCTGAATCGATTGATAACAAGACATACAGAATATTCTGCATTATATTCAGTGAAAACAACTAATATTTCCGGTTTACTATAAGTATTACTAAAGTCTTTAACCAACAAAACAATCCTAACTCCGAAACACACTTTCCCTTCAAAACACTCATGTCTTGACGTCTATGGGATACCTAAGGGCACAGGTATGCAGTGCTATGTCTTGATTCACTGAAACCATATGTGTTACAGAGATTTCAATTACATTTCACGCCATTTATAGCACATACGGAACACTAGAGATTGTGTCGCGAATTAAATGACAATGAGTTCAATGTTTAGCTCCAAATACACCTCAATAGCCGTTTTGGTGGTCCTATTGGTGGTTATCTGGTTGGGCGACAACACCGGTGTCCACTGCGGCTGCAAAAGGGACGCCGACTGCTCGGGGGACAGGTTTGCGATACTGGTACCGGTCGGTGTACTGGTACTGATATCTAATGTACAATACATTCATAAAAGCTTTGTATCGAAACAATTGTATTATTGTATGATTTAATGCCTAATAAATAAATGCGAATCCAATCAATGTGTTCAATGTATTAGCATAAAAATAACTGCTCTGGGACACGTTAAAGTTGCAATATTTTCTATGTTTGTAAATTACAAATGATAAGAATATCGCAAACTAACGATAACTTTGACATGTCCCAGAGCAGTTATTTTTTGAGATATTTTAAAAATAAAAAATGTTAATCTTATTAAATCTTTGAGAGGAATTCAGTCCTTTAATCAGATTTAATGAATATTGAAAAGTTATTAATTTATAAAATTTGTCTATCCTCCTTATAACTTGAAAAGTTTGAACAATACGAATAACAAAACCTATATATTTGTGATTATGTTCCTTTTGACTAGATTCAAATGTGATTTGTAGTTTTTAAGTAATTGCAATTTCAAATCCGGCGTTATTCGCCCAACACCCGTTACAAAACACATAGAGAATACATAATATAACAAAAAATTCATATAAAATCAGCCAGGTCCGATTTGCACGGCTCACCCTACCAAACTTACCTGTAATATGTTTAAGATTAGTGCTATACGAGTTTTAGTTTGGTTTGAAAAATTGAAGTAGGGTAATCCCTTTTAAGCGTTTATTTATTTAGTTCACAGCAAACATTGAATTTATTCGCAAATTACTCGACATTTCAATACTATTTAAGTATTTATTGTGCAATAGTTTTATGACTGGTATGACTGAAGCTTGCGTTTTGCTCTCGAGTTCATGGTTTGGGACCAATTGGTGGTGATGTCTGTGCTGTGAGTGACCACTGGTTGTGATGTTTGTGTCAAACAATGCCTTCAATCGTATGACTCTTCATATCGTATGCCATTTGATTGATAGCGTACTGCTGTATGCGAATGACTCCCACTGGGGGGCCATTCGGACACCCATTGCGGGTCAAGTGAAAAGTACTGCAGCCAAACCGGGGGTCAAATTACTTTGTATGTGAATTGTCCCAATTATTGATGTATGCAAATATTGCATTGCAATCATAATTAATTACACATACCCAAATCTTAACCAGCTAATTTAAATCTGTACTAAAATTGTTTGGTAATTGAGATTCAATGGGATTGGATGTTAATAAGTGCTAGGTTATAAATATATCACCATTTTATACCACAATTGATGTTAAATTTAATAATACCTCGAATAACCTATGATTAAGACAAACAAATCACTCTATGTTACAATTTATTATTTCTATGCATAATTTTAAAAAGAAAAGTTTATTTAAAAATTAACAAGGCAAAATTTATTGAAATCCAGAATTTAGTTTTTAGGTATTGACACTGTGTATCCAACCCAAAAATCAAAACTTAAAAATGTCGGATACTTTTTAAGTAATTTAAGATTTTCAAAAACTACCGTTCCCTACCGTTCCTTTGAGAATTGTACAAAAGTCATCATATGGATGTGTTTGTGCAAAAAAAACCATAGTTGCAAAAAATTTTGTTTTAATCTAGCTCAATTCTAACCAATAGTAATTTTAACTAAACGAGTTACCGCTATTTTGGCAAACATTTTATTTAGTACCATAATGTAGCCGAATAGTTAGGATTTTGTTTGGTATATGACTTGTATATTATTAAATTGGATAGCATTTTTTCCAAGGTAGTTTAGAAAAAAATCGGCAAAAATTGTTTTTGTTTGCAAATCATACTTTATATAGCATAAGTTTAAGTTTTATAGAAACTGTAATTTTATAATTTAGCAAAATCACCAGTAAAACATTTTATAGCAATAATTTTTATATAATATTAAAATACAGTTTCAACATTTCATGACAAAATATTCTTAAACATATAGTTTCAATAATTAATTTCTATAAAATTACAGTTTATAAAACTTTAACTTATGCTGATCAAATTATGATTTGCATGCGAAAACATAATTTTTTGCCAATTTATTTTCTAAACTACCTTGGAAAAAATGCTATCCAATTTAATAATATACAAGTCATATACCACACAAAATCCTAACTATTCGGCTACATTATGGTACTAAATATATTTAAATAAATTGCATTGCATTAAAATTATTTTAATTCAAAGTAGGGGGTGTTAATGTTGCATTCTTATGTGTGTGGAAGGGGATTAACTTTTGTGTTAATTATCGATACGTACTTTATGAATGGGACCTAAATATAAATAGACACCAGACAGACGATGTATCACTGAATATGAATACAGTTACTGTAATACAGTATGTATTGTTTAAATATTTTCAACGGGTTATACATGTTTACCATTTAAGTTATGGACGATTGAGTAGGCTTTCAAGTTATTGAATATTTTCAACATTTCATGACAAAATATTCTTAAACAGATAGTTTCAATAATTAATTTCTATAAAATTACAGTTTATAAAACTTAAACTTATGCTGTTCAAACTATGATTTGCATGCAAAAACACAATTTTTTTGGCAATTTTTTTTCTAAACTACCTTGGAAAAAATGCTATCCAATTTAATAATATACAAGTCATATACCAATCAAAATCCTAACTATTCGGCTACATTATGGTAATAAATATATTTAAATAAATTGCATTGCATTAAAATTATTTTAATTCAAAGTAGGGGAGTCCATTAATGTCATCCCTGTACCAGGGACAATATTAGAAAATAAGTTGATGCACAATTAGCTACGTACAAATAAAACTCATAATTATTCATCGGAAACAGAGTCCAACAAAGTATTATTTTGAATTGTTTTTTAATTTTTTACTTAGATTGAGTAAAAATACAATATATTTGTTTAAAAATGATATAGTTTGAAAATAATTACGTAATATTTTATTTCAAATAAATCTAAAAAATAATTTTTAAAATGAAATATACGCCTATGAATAACATATTTCAAAACTAATTTCAAATTGCCGTGATAAATTAGGGACAATAGGTTTTTAATTTAAAAGTTGCATAATATTTTTCATTTATAGTTTA